GACAGAGTTTTACTTTATGACCCTCAGTAGAGTGCCGCAGCGTTACAGCTCACAGCAACCTCCAACTCCTGGGCTTAGGCAATTCTTTTGCCTCAGCCTTCTGAGTAGCTGGGACTACAGGCACCAGCCACAATGCTCAGCTGGTTTTTGTTGCAGTTTGGCCGGGGCAGGGTTCGAACCCGCCACCCTTGGTACATGGGGCAGCGCTCTACTGAGCCATAGGCACTGCCTTGGAGTTTAAATTTTAATAGCACCTCATTGAGCCTGACTTTTGCCATCAGCTGTGTAATTCCACTTTCCTTTCTGCTGCAGGTTCTAGTCCATGTTCTATTTCCCCTTTTATCCCCCAGTCAAATTTAGCAGAGGAGCTTAAGTCTATTTCTTAAACCATCGCCTGCTGCTCCAAGGCCTTTGCACATGCTACATGCCACCTCCTGGTTCTGCCAACAGAGCCCCCATGACCAACACTCACTGTGCAGCTACCAGTCTCTCACTTTTAAGTGTGAGCTCCACTGGGATCACTCAGCCCCAACCTGCCACCTCTGGGCCTAGGAGTTGTGGAGGATGGACAGGACTTTAGGACCCCAGGTGTGACCAGAAATCTGGTTTTCTGCCCTCTGCTCCCTGGTGCTCATCACCAGGCAAGAAAAGCTGAAGGGGAAAGGTCTAGTGAGGGTCTTGGGCAGCCAAGACAAGGGTTTGCAGAGAGGAGGGGATCAGCCTCTCCCCTCTGCCAGCCCTGGGGGACATCTGTTGAGGGACAGATGCAGCTGGGCAGGCAGGTATGAGCACACAGAGGGGTGAGAACAGCCATCCTAGAGGCAGACAAGCCAAGGCCTGGGAGGTACAGGTAATGGCTGCAGGCTCAGCCCCTGCCCCACCCTCAGTGATTACTACCTGTCCCTGGAGGGACCCCGCTGGGCACCAGCCATCAAGCATGCAACGCAATGGAAGTATACACCCATGGGACGAGATGCAGCTGCCCAGCTGTGGTACACAGGCCTGACCAACTCAGACCCCCAGGAAGCCTGGTACAACATGCCCCGGGCCCTGGACAGCCCATACCGCGAGGCCTATGCCCGCTGGCACAGGTGCCACCAACACCGAGCGCACAGCCTGCCCTCAGGTGAGTTCGGCCCTCCCTGTGCAGGTGCTAGGCCCACAGGAGACAGGTGCAGAGGTGACCAGTCCCCTGCCCTACAGCCTACACACAGCACCTGCGGGAGACGGCCTGGTACGACCCCATTGTCCCTGCCCAGTACAAGACACCAGGCACGCGGTGGGGGAGCACACTGTGGAAAGACATGCCTATCCGTGGGAAGGAGTTTGGTGAGGATGGCAAGGGGCGCATGATGGGGGAGGCCCAGGGACCCTTGTAGCTGAGGGCTGGCAGTGACCCATGTCCTGGCCCACAGTGCTCAATAGGAACCGGTACCAGGAGGACCCACTCTGGCGGGCATCTGACTACGTTCCCCACCTGTCAGCACCCCAGCGCCCTCGCTTCACAGCCCAGAACTACTGCCAGTGGAACCTGGAACCCTACTGTCCCTCCACCCACCAGCGGTCCCCATCTGTTTATATGCCCACCCTCTGATAAAGGCTGTGCTGCCCCTCCCTGTGCAGCTGCCTGAATACGGGGATGGTGGGTGCTGGGTGTCCTGGCACCTGACTGAAGGGGTCATCAACCAGGACCCAGTGACCAAAGGTCAGGGTGGGGCTGGCATGCACAGGCAGGCAGGAGCTGGGCCACATCCTCTCTTTATTCACTTCCAGCAGAGCCCACTGAGTCTGTACAGCTTGCAGAGGTCTCCTAGCAGGCTCAGGTTAACAGTACCATCCCCGGGGACCCTGACACCATCCAGGGACCCCCAGGGTGGAAGTGGGCTGCAAACTAGGGCTGAACTCAGGGCAGTCCCTGGACCTCACTGGAACCCTCACTTTCTGCCCTCTACTCCAGAGAGGGGCACCCCAAGTCCTCGAGGAGGCTGGGAATGGATGAGAGTTAAGGTTGGGGCACCTTCCAATGTGGGGACCCACAGCCCCTGGATGCCTAAAGATCAGCTACTAGGTTCCCCCTACTGCCCTCACCCCTGCTTCACACTCAAAGCCAGAAGTCAGGGAGCTTCACCCAGTGGCCTCAGGCTGGATGTCACCGTGCAGAAACGTGGATCACTTGCATAGGTACAGAAGTCCATGGGGGCTCAGGGTTGGGTGCCGGGGTCCCCTGTGGCAGAGGGTGTGAGGATGGTGTCAGGGAAGATGGGGCTGACCCTACTCTCCCCACCATAGTTTGGCTGGTTTTATGGGGTAGGGAGGGATCCATGACTCACAGCTTCGAAGGCGGATGGGCCAGATGAGAAGGCTGCAAAGAGAAAGGGTGGCAGCCACACCCACGCCACCTGTTGCGACCACCATCACCCAGTGGTAGAAGCCCACACAGGCCCTGCAGCAGAGCTCCGAGCTGGGGATAGGAGAGGAAGCTGAGTAGACACCCATGGGGACCCTCCCTCCCCAGCCTGACCACCTACCCTTCCTTTCCAGTCAGGGTGGCTCTAGCCTGTCCTTTAGACCAGACCAGACAAGTTGGGGTCACCCCTGAATGCCTCCCTCCCACCCCCAACATCCTGCCAGTCCTGTCAACTGTGCCTCCAAAGTTTGTCCCAAATCCATCTGCTCTTGCTCCTCCCCTGCCTCCACCAAGGAATGCCCCAGTCCCCTCCACTCTGTACCCCTGGCTTCTGCCTCCACCTGTCTGTCCTCTCAGCTGCCACCAGAGGACACCTGGGAGGCCCTGCATGATCTGCCCCATCCCCTCCCTCCTTTCCTTTCCTCCCTCTCTCCCTCCTCACTCTGCTCCAGCCACATAGACTTCCTCATTGTGCCTCCAACACGCCATATGTGGCCTTTGCATGGGCTAGTCTGTCCCATTGGCCTGGAACTCCCTGACATCCTCCAGGCCTCAAGTGTGATGTCACCTCCTCAAGAGATGCCCTCCCCAACTTTCTGCTCTAACAAGCCACTCTTCCCTAAGTGATCACCTTGACACCACTTACTACCTGTCTCTGGTTACAGATTGACATTTGTGATTATTGACGTGGCTGGCTTTGCCCCCACCTCCATGACAACAGAGGATGAGGCCAGCTTTGTTCCCAGGTCCTGGGCTTCTACAGCCTCAATCATCTGTGTCTGGACCCTTGAGTTCTACAGGTCTGCGTAACAAAGACTATGGGTTCCCTCCAGCTGGGCCCACTCATGTTTCCCCACACACCTGTGTGCTCAGCATATGCACAGACTCAACATTTGCTGAATGAATAAATGAAGTGCCCAGAGTGAAAAATGGGGGTCTCCTTGACCTGTAATTGCCACCAGGGCAGGCATCTTTTGTCTACAACCTAGAACACTGCCTGGCACACAGCAGGAGCTCAGCACATCATCACTGAACAAAGGGATGAACAGCACTCACGGGCAGGGGTGCAGGCTCTGGATTGCCATGACTGCCAGCCCGTTGGCCACCTTATCTGAGAAGCTCATGGCGCCATACACGAAGGCTCCGCTGTGCTGGGTGCAGGGAAGACATGAACAGATAGTGGGTGTCACGCCCTAGTCCTAGACCAAAACCTCCCCCACCCCAGCCCTACCCTTGAGCCCTACCGTGTGGGGGCCAATGAGGTCAGCTGTCATGGCCAGTGAGGTGACAAGGATAGTGGCACAGCCGGTGCCCAGCAGCACAGCTGCCCCATACACAGCCATGCCCAGCCCATCTGCCAATGCTACCCAGGCCGCAAAGACCAGGACCACCAGGAGACCAGTGAAGTAGGTCAGCTGCAGAGGTAGAAGCCCAGCCCAGCATCAAATCCATGCCACTGGGCATCCCTAAGCCCCACACTTGCCCTCTCTGGTCTTCAATCTGCCACCTCTAACCTCAACCCCAGCAAATGTTCTCCTCTCTGTTCCCAAGGAGATCCCAGCTCTGACCTTGGAGAAGTCAGAGGTACTGAGAGCTCTGCAGGGCTGACACCTGAGAGCTGTGATTTCTGTCCAACAGCAGACAGTAGAGATATGTCAGTTACAATGAAAAAAAGAGCTCCTCAGTCACTGTGGCCACATTTCAAATGCTCAGTAGCCACATGGGGTGGACAGGAAGTTCCAGAGTCTGCAGCGCCAAGGGTCTGAGAACCCAAGACACTTGGGGCAATGCCCATAGCTCAGTAGGTAGGGCGCCAGCCACATACACCAAGGCTGGTAGGTTTAAACCCAGCCCAGGTCAGCTAAAACAATGACAACTGCAACAAAAAAAATAGGTGGGTGTTGTGGTGGGGGCCTATAGTCCCAGCTACTCGGGAGGCTGAGGCAAGAGAATCACCTAAGCCTAGGAGTTGGAGGTTGCTGTGAGCTTCTGATGCCATAGCACCCTACTGAGAGTGACATAGTGGGACTCTTGTTTCAAAAAAAAAACCAAAAAAGGCACTTTGGAAACCTGGGTTCTAGTATTCTCAGTTCTCAGACCCAGGACTTCTAGACAGCAAGATTGCCCAGGCCTGGGACCATCTGGGGCTGGAACCAAGTTGCTGAGTTTGTGTCTGGTGGGCTCTTGGCTACAGGGGCCTTTCCCCACCATCCCACCCTCCACCCTGGCTGCCCACTGTCCCCACCCACTCACATTCCTCCCGATACACTTGTTGATGGGCTTCATGAGGAAGGAGGAGAAGAAACCACTGAGATACATCACCAGGGGGATGGTTGCAATGAACCTCTGTCAGAGGAGAGCCAGTACTGGAGTTTCAGATGTGGTTCATGGGCTGGGAGCCACCTCCTAACTCTGCCTGGCCCACCCTGCCCTGCCCAGCTCACCTTGGGCAGGTGGAGGGAATAGGTGAGGTACATGGCCATGTAGGTCTGGGACAGGTTCACAATGAGCCTCGTGGACATGTACAGCATGCCCACCTGTGGACAGATAGACAAAGGGACAGTCAGGTCAGACGGCCTTTCTCTACTCCCATCAGCAGGCGGTTCCAGGACCTGGGTGAGGCCCCTGCAGCTGGCACCTGATCCCTCATTAGCAACTTCCCAGATGGGCAGAGGAGAGAGCAGAGATTGATTAGCAATGTCTGCCTGAGTGTGGTGTGGAGTAGGGGCAATGTTTGCCATCTGCCAACGCTGCCTGCCTTCTGGACACAGTGGAGTAAGGGGTCTCCACTCCAGCTCCCTCCCCCTTGATGCACCTGATAAAAAGCCGGCTCCTGAAGCCAGTCTTTCCAGAGCAGCAGAGGGCGTGCCACGGGGGCCAACAGGGGGCTGCTCTCATCTGGCTCTTCCAGCCTCTGCCGGCGCCTCTCCCTGGTGCCCAGGTGGAACAGCAGCGAGAAGACAGCTCCAATGCCCACCACCAACAGGGCGAGGTTCTGAGGACTCAGAAGAAATGTATCAGCAATGGCTCTACCAGCCCTAGCCCTGGGTACAAGGACTCTGGAATGGTCCACCCAGGCCCTAGCTCACCCGGAACACTGGTACATCCTGGACCCCAAGCTGGTCGCTGATATTGATGTCCTCAGTGGGCCCCATGCGTGAAGAGCCCTGCAGGTGGAGTAGGAGCCAGGCAGCGCCGTAGACGGTGATATTGGCCACCACAGTGAAGGCATACCTGGTGGTGGGTGCGGCCTCAGCAAGGCAAACCCAAACAGGTTGCTTCCATGTGGGGAATGTGGCATCTGAGGGAGGAGCCCTTGGCTGAGAGGTAATTTCAGCCACCCACACAATGGGTGACCTCAGGGAAACTCCTGCTGGGCTGAATTTCCCCAGCCCACACGTGATCTGAGGATGTGCAGCTGTGATCCCATGTGCTAAGGGCTAGGGCATAGAGACCTGGGGAACAGGGCCAAGTCCAGACTGCAACCTAGAAGGCTGACAACCCAGAAGCTCTCAGGATACCAGAATTCTTGGTTCCCAGATCTTGGGCTGCTAAAGGGCAAAAGACTCAGCTAGGCACAATGGCTGATGCCTGTAATCCTAGCACTCGGGGAGGCCAAGGAGGGTGGATTGCCTGAGCTCAGGAGTTTGAGACCAACCTAAGCAAGAGTTAAGACCCCATCTCTAAAAATAGCCAGGTGTTGCGGCAGGCGCCTGTAGTCCCAGCTACTGGCAAGGCTGAGGCAAGCGGATCACTTGAGCCCAAGAGTTTGAGGTTGCTGTAAGCTATGATACCCCAGCACTCTACTGAGGATGACAGACTGAGACTCTAT